ATGGAAGGCTTGTCTGATATCTAGCTTCGTGAAGATTTTTGCTTTTGACACCCGTCCTAGTAGTTCGTCGATACGCGGGATGGGGTAGGGATCGTTCCGGGTGAGACCATTTAACTTCCGGTAATCGATGCAAAATCTTAATTTGCCATCCGCTTTCTTTACGAATAGGATAGGGGACGCGAAGGGGCTGTTGCTGTTGATGATGAATCCCTTTTCCAGGTTTTCCAGCAGGTATTGCTTGGTAGCCTTAAGCTCTTCGGTGCCCTGTCGATATAACGTGCGTGCATAACGAATGATACAACATAACGAATGATACACTACCTTGAATTCACACAACTCCTCTAGTAAAGAGTAAATCCCTTCACAACAAAAGATGCCGCAGAGAAACGATGAACGCCAAGTTATATTAGCTCTTCAGGCGATGCAAAATGACCCTAAGCTAAGTGCTCGAGCTGCTGGAAAGCTCTATTCTGTCAATCATCAGAAGCTTAGTCATCATAAGCATGGTATGCATTCATGACGTGATATTTCTGCCAAGTTGCAGAAAATGACCGACTTAGAGGAATCAATCCTTGTCCAGTATATTCTCGACCTAGCTGCTAAAGGATTTCCTCCCCGATTGTCTGTTGTGGGAGATATTGCAAATCGACTTCCCACGACTCGCGACGCGTTACCTGTCAAGACGCGCTGGGCTTCCAACTTTGTTAAACGTCGCATAGAACTCAAAACAAGGTTCCAGCGCAAATACGACTATCAGAGGGCTAAATGCGAAGACCCAGTAATTATTCGTAGCTGGTTTGAGCTTGTGCGAAACACAATTGTGAAGTACGGCATCCACGATGCAGATATTTACAACTTCGATGAGACAGGGTTTATGATGGGCATTATTTCAACTGCAACAGTGGTAACAAGCTCTGATGGACGTACGAAGGCAAAAAAAGTACAGCCTGGCAATCGTGAATGGGCTACAGTAATACAGGGTGTTAATTCCCAAGGCTGGGCGATTCCACCATTTATTATTGTTGCAGGCAAAAACCACATCACGTCTTGGTATGAAAACAGCGGATTTCCACCAAACTGGGTAATTGCTGTTACAGATAATGGTTGGACAACAAATGAGAAAGGCATGGATTGGATCCGACATTTCGAGAAGCATACAAAACCTCGAACTGTAGCTGGTTATCGTTTGTTGATCGTTGATGGTCATGAAAGCCATCATTCAGACGAATTCGAGGAATACTGCAAGGAAAACAATATTATCACTCTATGTATGCCAGCTCATTCTTCTCATATCCTCCAACCACTCGATGTTGGGTGTTTTGGCCCACTGAAAAGGGCTTATGGGCAGCAAATCGAAAACATGATGCAGGCTCCAATCACACATATTACGAAGGATGACTTCTTTCCCGCATTTCACGCTGCTTTCTTTATTGCAATGACTGAAAACAACATCCGAGGAGGCTTCCGAGGCACTGGGCTTTTCCCATTTGATCCTGATAGTGTGGTTTCTATGCTTGATCTCAGATTTAGAACCCCGACACCACAAAACTCCCGCCCTAGCACCGCTCAACCTTGGGTTTCCCAGACACCAAATAACCAAAATGAAGCCTTATCACAGACAGCTTTCATTAAAAATCGAATGGCACATCATCAAAATAGCTCACCAACCTCTATTTACAATGCTGTTGACCAATTTGCAAAGGGAGCCTGCTACTGGGGCGAGCGGATCACAGCCGCGAATCCTGATCCCCACCGCCCCCCTGACCTCCGCAACCCCGCTTCACTCCGGCCATCAAACGTTGCGAATACCCCGGACCAGTTCGCGGCCCTCCTGAATCGTCTCCAGCAGCATACCTGCAGCCCTGCGTACTGCCTGCGGACGAAGAAGGCGGGGGCGGCCGCGCGGTGCCGCTTCTTCTACCCGCGCCCGCTCGCAACCCGACCTGCGGTGACAAAGTCGATCAATCAGAAGAGCTACACGTTCGCGCCAGTCCGCAACCAGGCGGTCCTGAACCAGTGCGCGCCAGTAATCACGCTGGGCTGGCTCGCAAATACGGACATCCAGCCGTCAACTACCCTTAATGGGATCCTCACGTACCTCGGAAAGTACGTATCGAAGCCGGAGAAGTCTTCCGCATCGTACACTGAGCTGCAGGCGCAGGTCCTACCGTACGTAAACGCGCGGGCGCCCCTCCTCTGATTCGTGTCAAAGCTCTTTAACAAGCTCGTTGGCGAACGCGACTGGTCTGCGCAGGAGGTCAGCCACGTCCTCCTCGAACTGCCATCTCAAGACGCGACCTGCCAGGTCGTCACGCTCGACTGCCGGCCCGCTCAGGTCCAGAACGACATGATCACAGTCGAGGACGACACGGTCACGGCCAGGCGGTCCCCGCTGCAGCGCTACCAGGACCGCATGATAGACCAGGTCGGCCCAGCCTTGGCTGCGGTCTGCCTCTTCGACTGGCTCCGGGCCTGGAATTGGCAGACCTAGACGGAGCGGCCGCGCGCCCGGTTGCGGGTCATCAACTACTTCCCGCTCTATTCGGGCGACCCGATTTCAGACCAGTACGACGACTACTGCCGCGTTCGGCTCATGCTCCACCACCCGTTCAGCTGTCTCGCGGACCTGCTGTCGTTCGACGGGCACCATTACGGCTCGTACGCGACCGCCTCCTATGCCTGCGTGTGTCTCCACACACACCCGGACGACTACTACACGGACGTGATCCCTGATGATCCAGATGCGGTCGAGAGCGAGTATGAGGAATCGGACCGCAGCGAGTGCGACGGGCCGCTTGCAGACTTTGAGGCTTTTGCGCGCCGGCGGCCAGGGGACCACGACCTGACCTGCACCTCGACGGACGACCTGGGGAGCCGCGAGATAGACTGCGCGTACGACTGGACGTCTCATGTCGGCCGCGATGTGGTGCTGCCAGCAACCTGGGACCTGTTCAGGTGCCAGCACGCATCCGAGCAGGCTGTTACGGTCGATTCGGACCCGGGACTGCTCAACCCTGAGCAGCGGAAGCTCTACGACGTCGTTACAGCCCAGTACGCGCAGGAGCTCACTCTGCTTCAGCCGCCTGCACTCCTCCTGAACGTTGACGGGGTTGCGGGATCCGGTAAGACATTTACGGTCCTGAAGATCTGTGCCCGACTCCAGGAGCTCGCGCAGCAGGCTGGGCACGCGAATCCGGTTCTCCGTGCGGCCCCCACAGGTGTCGCAGCTTTCAACATTGTGGGCCGCACGCTCCACAACCTCTTCCGGCTACCCGTAAAGCAGAAGAGGGCGGATCTCGCAAATGGTACCCTCCAGGCCCTCCAGGCGCTCTTTGCCGGTGTGCGGTTCGTCATCATCGATGAGAAGTCCATGCTGGACCTCCATATCCTCTCGCTAATCGACAACCGGCTGCGGCTGATCTTTCCGGACCGCGCGGACGCGCCCTTTGGCGGGCTGAACGTCCTGCTCTGCGGCGACTTCTTCCAGCTGCCACCAGTTGGTGGCCGCGCGCTCTTTACGGTCTCCGTGAAGGTCCCAGCTGCTATTAAGGGCCAGCTCCTGTACCGGGCCCTAGACCGCACAGCCCGCCTCACGCAGGTGATGCGGCTGCAGGGCGAGGACGATACTTCGATCCGGTTCCGGACGGCCTTGGGGGAGTTGCGGGAGTCGCGGCTGTCGCACGCGAGCTGGGACCTCCTCTGCACCCGTGTTCAGAACCAGCTGGCACCGGGGGAGGTTGACACCTTCCAGTCCGCCTTGCAGCTCTACTACACAAAGGTCGAGGTCCGGGAGCGCAATTACCGCCAGCTTGCGGCCACGAGCCGGCCCGTTAAGCGGCTGCTGTCGACTCACACGGGCCGCAACGCGTCAAAGGCGTCTGCGGACGAGTCCGACAACCTCCCAACCGAGGTGCTCATCAGTGTGGGCGCGCGGGTCATGCTCACGGCCAACCTCTGGACCGAGAAGGGGCTCGTGAATGGTTCCATCGGCTCTGTCGAGGATATCGTGTGGGAGACAGGCCTAGACCCATCCGTAAGTCTACCGTCAGTGCTGTTTGTGCGCTTTGGCGACTATTCTGGCCCGGATTTCCCTCTATACCCGTCCAAGGTTGTGCCGATCTATCATGTTGCCCGTCAGTTTGAGTTTAAGGGGGCTGCTTGCACCCGTACACAGTTTCCGCTGCAGCTTGCGTACGCGCTCACGGTCCACAAGAGCCAGGGTCTTACGCTAGCACGGGTCGTACTAGATATCAACCAGAAGGAGCACTGCCTTGGCCTGTCGTACGTAGCTATATCGCGGGTGAAGGCTCTGCACGGGCTAATGTTTGAAGCCCCTTTTGATTACAGTCACTTTGCGGCCCGGGACTCCCCTGTAGCCAGAGATCGCGACTTAGATATGTGTTTTAGGAGTAGACAGCTAGTATAATGTAACAGGCTATCTTACAAGCCTGCAAGTGCCATGGGCGTGGTGCAATTGCGCGATTCGGCCAAACGGCCAGCAGCAGACATGTTACAGGCCGTTTACAGACCAGGCGCAGTTTGTACCTGCTGTACAGGAGTTTACAGATCAGTTCTGGCTTTTACTAACCCTAGAGAATAAAACAATAATAACTGTAACATAGAAATGAAGAATGCAAGCTTTCTACCCGCTGTATCTCCCTTTACAGCTCCTAGTTATTTAGGCTACGTGATTCTAACATCACATGATAATCACGACAAGTTAAGTTGTAGTAGGATCAATAAGAATCATTAAAATGTCTACTGTGGCTTATGTGGGGTTTTCACCATGTCGAAGGTAACCTAACCCCCCCAATCTTAGAAAGGATTGGTCTATGGTCGCGCCCATTCCAAGGCCTCCACGGAAGGTAAATTCTATAGCACTTTTCTTCTTCTTCCACTGACCCTTTAACAAGAGTAGCTATAGTGGGGCGAGAGAGCTGCCATAGTAGTGTGTTAATGCTCGCAGCACCACGATCGTCACAGCCATTTGTAATAAAGAAAGCCTCATATTTGAGTGTAAAAGAACGTGGTAAAATAGAAAGCTATTCATCATGCAACAGATCAACCCACAACCCATTTCTTCTCAACTAGCTCAAAGTTCCAAAAGTAATTCATTTCCTCGTTAGTTGGTGATTTTCCCAGTAGAAATCTATCCAGTTTAGACCGTTTTGTCGGATCCACCGTCGGGTCCTGTGGGCTTAGCTCGTCGTCTAGTCGGATACTAACTGTATCGTGAAATGTTACATGTATCTCGTCGGGAGATTCTGAGTGGACGTGGACAATTGCGGCGGCTATAATATCATTTGGGTCCATCGCGAAGCGGAAAATAAGCCCTATCCTGTCCCCTTTAGGAAATTTCAATGTCGGCTTAGAAGGTTGGCCCACATCTAGGGAACGTATGACACTGTACTTTATCTTTCCGTCTGTTATGGTCGCTGTATCCCATGGAATTTCATAATATTTCCCAGTTGCATCTTTTGCTTCTAATTTATGTGGCTGCGTGTTTAGCTTGAATTCCATATCAAGTGTCAACAGAATCCCTGGTCGTGTGACTCGCAATTCTAGCTCGTCCACCGAGCGTGGCGTTACTCCACCCCCAAGCTCCTTTGGATACACATCGTTTGGTGCCCACCGCAACCCCGGGGTCAGCAGACGTGATGACCTCAAAAAGAGAAATTCAAGCGGAATTACCCTCTGCTTCCGAATCCAGGCCTCCATTCTCTCTTCTTTCTTTAGTTGCACTATCTCACTTAGAGTACCAGAGTTTCTTGCCATATCCAGACTAGAGACGAAGATTATGAGCCTATCAGAAGCTCGGGTTGTTGATCGGGCGGCTAACTCGTTCCATGTGGTAATCATATTCAACTTTTGGTCCAAAAATCCCATATATGTCCCGAAAAATCTTTGTTGTATCTGTCCTTTGATGCACTTGAGTAGAGAGAAGGATTCCGCGTATTGGCCATGCGGCGTGGCTCCCCATGTGGCCATTGACTCTACTGATTCATCCGTAACTTTGAGAAAATCGTTAAGCAGGTCGAGAAGCTTGTCCTCTTGGATCTCCCCAGGAGAGCTAAACAGTCCCATGGGGTTCAAGCCCTGAAACCCCTTTAGTTTAAGAGTGCCGTTCAACTTGCACCAGTTGTTGAAAGAACGGAGTTTTCCTATGTAAAATGAAGTGAATTGATACAGCCCGTCAAGCTCGTCGAACTCAAAGGATTCGACTATGTCTACCAGACGATTCCCTACCTTGATCCGTAGATGGTAGGTGCTTCTTTCGCGCTCGAGAAAGGTCCAGCATCGGCCTTTCCATGACGACAGTTCCAGGCGCAGGAAAATCTCCGTACTTGACGCGGTGTTCGGTAAGCTCTCTAGTCCGGCGTCCAAGGCGATGGTGTAGAACGAGCCGGAGTAGACATCGTTGATTTGAGTGATGGCGATCTTGCGAGACTCCTTATTATGCGGTATGCATATTGTATCCATCCATAGATTTACCTTTTGATATTGACCGCTAGCTTTTAGAGTGTCGAGCCACTTGTCTACATGCTCTTCAGCCATAGACTCCATAACTTCCCGTACCTCCTTCACTTTCTGTAGTGCCAGAGGGTCTACTCCCGTGGATTCCATTCGTTTTTTGGCCATGTCCATTGGATTAAGAAAGCTGTTCATCCAATCGGGCTTCGCGTGCTTCAGAGGCCATTCCTCAAGCATGCGAAATATTTTCAGGAGTTCGCAGTGTGGCAAGGCGTTTCCATGTGGGTTTCCCAGCCCATCAGACCATACATGAGAGATGGCTATATAATGGGGAACATTGCCAGAATGTGTCACTTCGGTGTTCAGCTTGCCATCAGGCCCAAGTGATAGGGAAACAATTGGTATTTTCCCTTGCATGATCAGATCGTGTAAGCTCTGTGAGTCTATTTCGACGTCGCCACAGGTGCCGTCGCATTCTGGTGTATGTTTTGTCCGATAGGTGCTTTCGTCTTCGATAGTAAACGTTTCACATATTTTACCCGTGCATTTCGTGTGATTGTGGTGTCTGTCCAAGTGCGAATCAATCGCAGAGGCATAGTACGGGGTCAATGGGGTAAGATAGTGAAATGATTTCGGTGCCATCGACTTGCACCAGCCGGAAATTTCCAAACACTCGTCGTGATCGCCTAGCCGTTCAGTGGCATTCATGTATATTTTCCAATACCAAATCATGGCTGCTTGTATCGTACGTGCCAGAATCTGCACCGATGCGGAAACCCGAAGGAGATGATGTCTGTCCCTGTGCCAGCGCCTCTTCAACATATGTTCGAGGAACCCCTTTGTTTTACTGAGGCGCTGAGTCCGCTCAGCTTCTCCAAGACTGTTCAAATGGCCTGCCCAGCTCGATATATAGTCATTCAACTTCGTCGTACATAGGACCCATTCCCCATCAGCTCGCTCTATTACGAACTCCAAAGTCGGTATTGGCTTATCAAAGGCCAGCACCTCATTGATGGCTCCAAAATAATACTTGTTCTGGACAAAGATTGCAGCTTCCAAGTCAGGATAGTTGGAAAAATCGTAGACATGCTTCTTAGCAGACCAAAGTCGATCCTCATCGATGGATCTACACCTTTCCTGCTTGCGAGACCCAAGTTTAAGCTTCAGCATTAGCTTCTCTGCTAGAGGTGTCAGTGTTTCATCTAAAATATCCATTAGCCGTAAATACTTTGCCATGATATAATATCTACTTACTAGGATCCATAAGATGGTCTTTCCACTCGTTGAACTCATTGCCTATATGTAGACGTTGATCTTCCAGCCAGAAGAAGGGAAAATCATCAAAATCTTTCTCTGAAAGACGATACCGTGCGTCATCCTTTGGTTGGACAATCAACGGCAGCTGAGCGGCATCGTAATCCTCCAAGGTCAGCGCCGGGAAGTCTGGCCACGGCTTCTGCGTGGAGGAAAGTATCGGAAAATGATCCATATTACAAGTTAGACACGCTTGTTTCGCAGCGCTTTGCTTTGACTGGTGGTAGTGTTGAGATCGTCGGAGTTGTAGTAAGGCTTATTTTGTCCCAGACAGCGGCTGCCGTTATAGATGGGTGTTGGTGGTCTTAAAGATAACGGTGCGGGGCAGGCAGGCATTAAAGATTACCCCGAAGCCCTATCATCAAGGGTACAACAGCTGAGAATTTAATCACGTAAGAAACCCAAAACCTTACATGCCTATCTATCCTAGTTACAGTCGTCTGCAGCTTGTGCTGTATTGCTACCTTACCTTTTACTTGTGAGGATCCGTAAGGGAGGAGACTCAGCCGCGCAATGCCAACCCTAACGCTGATTGGTTAGATGGGAGAATTGAGGGTCAGAACGTGTCAAGTGTCAGTCAGGATGCCGCTGTTCCCTTAGTTCCAGGGCCCGAAACGTTAGCGGACCAGAGTAACCTAAACTCCCGACCTAGTGTACGGAGTAGATACTCTACTCTTGATTCTTTGCCTATAGCTCCTTACAATATATCGTATATCGTACACCTTTTGGCGTTGCACTTTGACCCTCCCTCCTACCCTCCATGCCATCTACTTCTAGTACTTGGTGGCTTAGCCAATTAAGTCCCGTGACTACTGGGGCTGAACGGGTCTTACTCGCTTACTGTACCATGTGGAATATGTTTTGAATTTCTCGATGCTTCAACACGTCTTCATCTTTCCGTTTTCGTGCCTACAACACTGTGCTCACTATTGGCGACAGATTTGACTTCTTATCATCATTGACATGATCCTGCAGTTGTGATTGACCTTTCCATATCGGATCCAACCATGGCTCCAGCACCATTCTCCCAATTATTTCCAAGACGGGACTTCGATACGAACGCACCCACTGAGAGTTTTGCCAACGAATGGGCAAATCCTTCAAACTATGCTTTCACTATCCTTCTCCTCCTTGGAGGCGACGTAATTACCCGGGCTCTTGCACAACTCGCAGGTGGTCCCGTGACACCCGTAGCATTCTCTTTTGGTATGTAACCAAACAATGCATAGCATGACCTCTGTGTACTCTCACAGACGACTAGCTCCGGCTCCGTCTGCTAATAGATCTCTAGGCTGGGTCTCCTATGCCACCACAGCAATTTGCAGCGCTGTTGGTGAAAATAAACTCATGCCTGGCGCAGACTGCCCGTGTGAAGTCATTAATGGAAAGAATGGCTACGTCCGAGGCAACAACTCTTTTGTTATTGGCCGCATAGTGCGTGACTACGAGGCATGGATGGGCTTGGCCGTGCATAATATCACTCAGTCTCTCATTGATACCCGCTGGAAATTTGACAAGGGCATAGCAGAAAAAGAGTGTGACGGTTCCGGCGCAGAGGTCTCTCGACCAAGGCAAGCTGGCTTGGTAGTCAGCTTCTGGGAACCGAGTCAGACGATTGAAGCTGGCAAGCCAGGACACGATCTTCTGCACTGGTCAGGCTTGATAACGACTGTGGTCCAGCTAGGTATTGCAGCCATCTCGTGTGGTATTTGGGGAGATTGGAGTGTGCTACTCATCACGGGCGGTGCATCAGTTCTATGTTACAGTATGGGTGCGCTATCTCAGTGGGGCGTTGAGAAATGGGCGTGCAGACGTCTCAATAAACGAAGCAAGAAAAACTTTATCCTAACCCGCGGAAACGGCGCACAGCATGCCATTGCGATTATTAGCGGCGGACGTGGGCTAGATCTGGAGGATTTGGCAACTGGATTCGACAATCTGGATGCTCCTTCGATTACACTCTTCGCACAACTGGCCACCATATTCTTGGGACTTCTCTGGATCGTATTACTCATCACGAGCTCAGCGATCACGGACTCAGCATGGTTTTTGATTGCGGTTGGAGGAGTCGGTATTCTGCAGAATATGTTTGTTGCAGGGTGGAAACGACAGCCTAAGGCGCTGGGGGTACCAATTGATTACCTCGACGTTGTAGGAGATGTAAAGGTTATGAACACGTTACTGGCAGTGGAGAGGAAATATGAGAAGTTGGGGCAGAGTATGATTGGATCATTCTTCCCAGGTGACCTTAGGGGGAATGAGAAGAAGCTGTGGGAAGATGTTGCGGCGGAGTGGGTGGAAAAAAAGAGAGCGGAGGGTTTACATAAGGTTTAAGTATCTCTGGTTGCGGGGGGTAAGCGGTCGGCGCCTGAATGTAAAGTAACTTTTGGGAGGTTCATTTTTAAAGAAAATGGTGGAAGGTTTGATGTATCTGCCATCTATAGCTATAGCTTCGGAAAATAAGACATAATTTCAGCTAAATCAGGCATCAAGTGCTAACACAGGGCATCACTCGTGCGCCGCGATAGCAAGGACTTCTAATCGAGCGTGGGATACTACGAGAGGACTAGGGTAACACGGGGGGAAATTCCTGGGGCATAATATACCCTCGAATTCCGTGCTACTATGGTAGATTCTCAAGTTTTTTTTATTATATCGGAAGCTACGACTGCGGCTTTGATTGGTAATCGTTCTTTCCATATCCAGAACTTGAAGGTTCCGAGGAAGCTACGATGGAGGTATTGCTTGTAATCGTTCCTTCTATACCTAGAGTTTGGAGGCTCTCGAGGAAGCTGCGATTGAGACATGGTTGGAAATCGTTCTTTCTATATCAAGAACTTAAAGACTCCAAGGAAGCTGTGATGGAGACATCGCTTGGTAATCCTTCTCAGGCATGTCAACAGTTTAGTGCGTGCAGTGTGAGGATATTCGCACTATCAGTGTGAGAAGTTTGCACTATCAGTGTAGTTGGTTTGTGCTCTAGTCTGTGCTACCCCTGTGAAAAATGAAGATATTTCCGCATCTGAGCAAACCATCCCCTTTTGCCTATTATGAGAACCGTGGTACCTTAACGAAAACACGCCCAAATCATACAAAAAAAATGTCAGAGGATACGCAATCGATCAATGGGGTTTTGAAACCCTCACATCTACCAAAGCAAGAAGCACTCTATCAAAGCAGCAGTTAAGGACTTCATGGGTTTGGCAGCATATAGAAGGTGGTCTAGATGCGGTCTTGTTGGTTAACAGCGAGCTGTATTGGTGATGCCTACACTGCTTAGTGAGCTACAAGCATATAGGAGGCACTTGATCAATAGCAGCACACCTTACAAAGGCGTATACCAAGAGGGATACAAAGGTCCAACAGCATGAGGTTGTCAAAGGTAGGATTGAAGCTGCATTTGCTAGAGCTGCCCCTAAATGGAAACGAGTGATAACTGATAATAGATACGCTTAAGTCTTTAAATCAGCAATATTTGAAGAGCTTCTTATTGAGTAGATTGCTGTTTTGATTCTATTGCTTTCAAAAAGTGCAAATTGCCTCAATTCAAGGCTCTTTTAAAGTATCTAAATTGCCATGTCAAAAGCTGCCTTCCTACTCAAAATACTGTCAAAAACTAGTCCCTTTAACAATATCAAACTTGACATAAAGATCTTTAAGATGAACTTGCCATTGTCACTCAAAAGATCCATCTATCAATTGATATTTAGACTAGGGAAGGCGATGCTCGTGCTTGAGGCAGTATGCCCGATGGAGAGGCCGCGGTCCGAAATAGGCTAGTAGGTGTCCTGTTTGCGAGGAATATTGGTGAGGGCGGCATGTCATGGTCCAGCGAATGGATCGATGCCGCATTCGGTTTTGAGAACTGCCTCAAGCACGAGCATCGCCTCGAACCTCTCAATTCCTCTTCAAACTCACTGCCAGAATACTTCACCCCTGGTCCCCCATCGCCACCATTCTCAAAACCGAATGCGGCATCGATCCATTCGCTGGACCATGACATGCCGCCCTCACCAATATTCCTCGCAAACAGGACACCTACTAGCCTATTTCGGACCGCGGCCTCTCCATCGGGCATACTGCCTCAAGCACGAGCATCGCCTCGAACCTCTCAATTCCTCTTCAACCTCTACTCTTGGCGGTGCAGTCGGTCGCTACGAGCGCTGCAAAATAACGAAGCGGCAGCTTAAATACGTCATCTGCATCGAGCCCATCACCGGCGACTATGTTGCCTGTCTGTCCTGCGGCTGCGCATCGCACTAGATCTGTCTCGACGCCTACCTCTTCTCATAGGACGACGAGGAGGTAACAAAAGACGACATGATATGCGCTAGGGGATGCGACTGCAACTGCACGCGCCGGGCCGGAATGGGCGTCGTAGAGAGCTGGGAGGTGATGATGGGCGCGCTAGAGAAGATGCGTAAGAAGGAGGCGAGGCGGGCGAAGGTACCGCTGTGGCGGTTAACGGAGGAGTGGAATGAGGGGAGCGATTGGGAGGGTGCGAGGGAGAGTAGGGCGGAGGTACCGCCGGCGAAGACGCCAAGGGGGACGATGGGCCAGGCGATGGGGTATGCACAGCAGTTGAATTTCTCGACGCTAAGTCGGAGGTTGGGGCAGGTGAGGGCGAGAGATGGGTGGATGGGGGTTAGGAGTGGGTTGAGGAAGAAGGGAAGTGTGAGTACTAGTAGTACTACTATCCCCCCCGAATGATTGTAAAGACCCGCTATTTTGAAGTTTGTGGAAACCCACTTATAGCGATCGGTTTAGGTAAAAAGGCGTAAATAAGATGAGATCACTGGCAGAGGCCTTTTGACAAAATAGTGGATGGTGACAATCATTCAGGGGGGGATAGTAGCTTGAAGGCGCATGGATTGATATCGTGATCATGTGATCACCTGATCTTACAAATGCCGTTGGAAGGGTTGGAAGGGGGAAAGGGTAGGGGTTCCTTTTGTCCGATGCATAAGAGTCATATTATAGGTGCTAATAATAACTATCAGCCCCCATAGCTCAGTTGGTAGAGCGCGGCACTAGTATAATTCATGGTCACATGATACATCGTGATGCCGAGGTCTTCAGTTCAACTCTGAATGTGGGCATATTTTTTGTATTAATTTTGCATTTTAAGTAACGTGCGTGCATAACGAATGATACAACATAACGAATGATACACTACCTTGAATCCACACAACTCCGCTAGTAAACAGTAAATCCCTGCACAACAAAAGATGCCGCAGAAAAATGATGAACGCCAAGTTATATTAGCTCTTCAGGTGATGCAAAATGACCCTAAGCTAAGTGCTCGAGCTGCTGGAAAGCTCTATTCTGTCGATCATCAGAAGCTTAGTCGTCGTAAGCATGGTATGCATTCACGACGTGATATTTCTGCCAATTTGCAGAAAATGACCGACTTAGAGGAATCAATCCTTGTCCAGTATATTCTCGACCTAGCTGCTAAAGGATTTCCTCCCCGATTGTCTGTTGTGGGAGATTGCAAATCGACTTCTCGCGACACGCGACGCATTACCTGTCAAGACGTGCTGGGCTTCCAACTTTGTTAAACGTCGCATAGAACTCAAAATAAGGTTCCAGCGCAAATACGACTATCAGAGGGCTAAATGCGAAGACCCAGTAATTATTTGTAGCTGGTTTGAGCTTGTGCGAAACACAATTGTGAAGTACGGCATCCACGATGCAGATATTTACAACTTCGATGAGACAGGGTTTATGATGGGCATTATTTCAACTGCAACAGTGGTAACAAGCTCTGATGGACGTATGAAGGCAAAGAAAGTACAGCCTGGCAATCGTGAATGGGCTACAGTAATACAGGGTGTTAATTCCCAAGGCTGGGCGATTCCACCATTTATTATTGTTGCAGGCAAAAACCACCTCACGTCTTGGTATGAAAACAGCGGATTTCCACCAAACTGGGTAATTGCTGTTACAGATAATGGTTGGACAACAAATGAGAAAGGCATGGATTGGATCTGACATTTTGAGAAGCATACAAAACATCGAACTGTAGGTGGTTATCGTTTGTTGATCATTGATGGTCATGAAAGCCATCACTCAGACGAATTTGGGGAATACTGCAAGGAAAACAATATTATCACTCTATGTATGCCGGCTCATTCTTCTCATATCCTCCAACCAATCAATGTTGGGTGTTTTGGCCCACTGAAAAGGGCTTATGGGCAGCAAATCGAAAACATGATGCAGGCTCACATCACGCATATTATGAAGAATGACTTCTTTCCCGCATTTCACGCTGCTTTCTTTATTGCAATGACTGAAAAGAACATCCGAGGAGGCTTCCGAGGCACTGGGCTTTTCCCATTTGATCCTGATAGTGTGGTTTGTATGCTTGATCTCAGATTTAGAACCCCGACACCACAAAACTCCCGCCCTAGCACCGCTCAACCTTGGGTTTCCCAGACACCAAATAACCAAAATGAAGCCTTATCACAGACAGCTTTCATTAAAAATCGAATTGCACATCATCAAAATAGCTCACCAACCTCTATTTACAATGCTGTTGACCAATTTGCAAAGGGAGCATCACAGATGATGTATCAATTAGCATTCTTAAAAGCAGAGAATGAAATGCTTCAGCAAGGGATGGAACAACTTAGCAAACACAGAAGGGCTAAAAAAACACGCCTACAGCAAGGAGGATCACTTACACAACACGAAGCACAAGAGTTACAAGATGAGAGGGACCTTGCGCAACAAGTAAAGCAAGAAACACAGGCAGGGAGTGGTCGGAAGCCAAGGAAAGAAACATGCGCAAGGCACTGTGGCAACTGTGGTGGCACAAAACACAATGCACGCACCTGTCAGATGGTAATAGAGGTATCTGAGGATGAGTATTCTACATAGCTTTAATTGATTTATAGCGTTGTAGTGGAATTATCATAGTATTTGTTAAGTGAGCACATTGGACTGTATCATTCATTATGTTGTATCATTCGTTATGCACGCACGTTATGCTACATAGACATATTAGAGGTAGAATAATTAAATTAATTACTAACGTATTTCATTAGGGTTAGCACAAATAATCATAATAATCATAATAATCATGACTAACGTGGTTTATCAGCAAGTCGCGCATATCACCGAGTCGCGCACTTTCCCCCACATTCCAACCTACTAACTTCAATACGCGTTTTTTCAACCACCACAATGGAAATTCAAACTCAAGAATCAAGTATTATTCTTGCTATCGAAGCTATCCTATATCTAGAAAAATCAGCTGTCGGTCTGCTGCAAAGATCTATAAAGTGCCCAAATCAACACTACGCGATAGAATGGCTGGCCGAACCCCTCGCGCCGAAGCTCGATCGAATTGTCACAAATTAAACGATATAGAAGAGGATACAATTGTTCAGTATATACTCAGCCTGGATTCCAGAGGATTTGCGCCCCGACTTGCTGGTGTTGAAGATATGGCTAATCTTCTTCTTAAATCGTGAGGACAGAACCCCGTAGGAAAGCTCTGGGCCCATCTATTCATACAACAGCAACCACAGTTAAAGACGCGTTTTAATCGCGTTTATGACTTTCAAGGGCCTTGTGCGAAGATCCCTAGCTTATTGGCGCGTGGTTTCGACTTGTTGGGAATATGAGGGAGAAATATGGTGTTCTAGATTGCGATTTCTACAACTTCGACGAGACAGGGTTTATGATGGGATCGACATGGCAGAGGCAAGGCAGTTCAGCCTGGCAATCGGGAATGGGCAACAGCGATTGCTTGTATTAGTAGTGAGGGTTGGAATGTGCCTCCATTTTTAGTAGTGCAAGGGAAGAATCACCTCACGAATTGGTACACTGAGGCTCCCAAACGACTGGGTGGTTAAGCCAACAATTAATGGATGGACAAATAATGAGACGGGTCTAGAATGGATCAAACACTTCGGTAAACACACTGCTACTCATTCGAAGGGTCCATATCGAATGCTTGTGTTAGATGGGCACAAGAGTCACGAATCGGCTGAATTTCAGGAGTATTGTAAGGCTCACAACATTATTACTCTTTGTTTGCCTCCTCACTCATCCCATCTTACCCAGCCACTTGACATTGGGTATTTTAGTGTGTTGAAAAGGGCATATGGGCGACAAATCGAGATCTTTATTAAGGCTCATATTAACCATATTACTAAGGTCGAGTTCTTCCTTGCCTTCCAAGCAGCGTTTATAGAGTCAATAACGACCCAAAACGCTCAGGCTGGATTCCGAGCTGGCCTAGTGCCTTTCAACCCTCAAGCTGTTATTTTAAAGCTCGATGTGAAGTTACGGACTCCATCTCCTGCTTTACCCCTCCCTGCCGACGCCGACCCTTGGGTCTCCCAGACACCTCACAACCCTACGGAGGCCCTCTCACAGACAACTCTTGTGAAGCAAAGGATTGCCCATCACCAGGGAAGCTTGTCAACACCTCTTTTTGAGACAGTCTTTGCATTAGCAAAGGGCACTGAGCGATTAGCTCACCAGAATACCCTTTTAACAGAGGATATCCGTACACTTCGAGCAGCAAATGAAGTCTCATGACCATCAAGGACTAATGTCACACTGACATTCGTTGCACTCAGTTTGCTATCAAACTCAAGAGCAAACTTGGAAATCTCCTCCTCAAACCTACAAGTCACTATACATATTTTGGCTTATCACACCAACAACAAGAGCAATACTACTCAACGATTGCTACAACCATCTATGATTCATTACACTCATCGCTCCTTAGTTACTGGGCCGATATTACCACATAGCATATCTCTACAACCCTCTATGATTCATTACATGACATCACTCATACTACCACATGACATATCTCTACCAACTAGAGGCCTAGGAGCATGAACGATAGCTCTAAAAGCTCCTACGAATCTCTATGATTCATTACATGTCATTGCTCTTTAGTTACCCACAAGATTGGTTAAGTTATGACATAATTTGTCTATGACATAATTTGTCTATGACATAATTTGTCTATGACATAATTTGTCTATGACATAATTTGTCTATAGGGGTACTCTGACCTTGGACCTCCTTTTACTTCCTATAGGCTACGAACCTAAGAGATGGTTCTATGGGATTCTCTTACGTCGACTACAGTTACCAAGCCTGGTAAGTCATGGAAACTCTTGGAAAATGAGAGAACTACACTCCTTTAGCATAAATAGGATTGCCCTTTCCTTAAGAAAGGGCAAGCAGACAATACAGTAAATTGACTATCACATACTTCCACGTCTTTTCCAAGCTTCCAAGCATTCATCTTGTTACTCCTTGTTTCTGAAAAGTCAGTGAGGTGTTAACCTCTGACTTATCCCTGAGTTCCCAGACTCAACATTTGTTGCAACTTGTCTGAACCACTTCACTACATGACACACCTGATTGCTGCGTTGTGGAATAGTCTAAGCTACAACCCTTTGGCTCTGTTTCCTAAGACAGTGTGTTGTCTTAGTAAATTCATCCCTTCCTTGGGTGGCTAGATTCTCACATCTGGTGCACCCACCATTACAGAGGGTACGAAGCCACTGTCCTTGCTTGCTGGCTTCGCAGAGGGCGATATATTTGGCCTCAGTCGTTGATGTTGCGACGCAGCGTTGCTTTGTCGAATTCCAGCTGACAGGCCCCATATTCAACATGAATATTAGACCTGATACTGAGTGTCGATCAGTCTGGTCACCAGCGTAGTCTGAGTCGCTGTATCCTTGTAAATAGGGGGTAGAATTGCCCCCTATCCCCCCAAACGAAAGTCGTAAAGTCCTAGTTCCTTTGACGTAGTGCAATACGTGAAGAACCCCATTCCAATTTCGTAT